GGGGGTTTGTCACCTCTTCTGTGGCGCTTTGTAGTGATTGAACTGCAACCATTAAACCGTTCGTGCGAGCGTCTGGCAGGAAAATTCTGGGGATGCAGCCCCAAGATCCCAAGATGGTTTTACATCATAATAGTACTCTGGCCACGGTTAGACAATCGCGATGCGCACATGTCCGTTGACGGCCCTGGAAGTAGTTCTCGAACTTGAGCCTCTTATATCCATAAAGCAGTTACCCAAAAGAACTCTGCTTAGCTTTGCTGGAGATCTGGAAAAGGAATATGGACAAGGTCGAGGACCCTACCTCCAGCTTTTTCTGTTCCCCAGAGATGACTTAGGCAGAACCATAGTATTTGAGAAGAGATTTAAAATAGAGCTATGCAGCAAAGCAACCTGGAGCGTCTCCGCCTTCGAGGGATTACTTTAGGGTTCAGTTACACGGGTCGTTTATTAAAGCTCGCTGACTGTAATCCTATGACGGCATTCACAAGAAGGGAGTTAGTGTAGAAACTCTCCCATTCACATTGCTGCTTAAATGCCTTACCAAATTGAGTTACAAGGAAAATTTGCTTTCCTAAATTTGTACGCACTGTTTTTAAAGCATTTATGTATACTGGCGGCAACGCAAAACTTACCACCATTGTTTTTGGAGTAGAATTTCGTTAATTATATTATAATTCATATTATAACAAAAACTATATAAATCTAAGTTTTAAACTTTGTACAAAATTTAATAAAGTTTATCAAGTTTTTGGAAAAATTTCAAACTTAATCAAAATGGTTAGGAAAATTTCGATATATTTTAAGCCCATTTAATTTTTGTACAAGAAAGTACTCAAAATTCGGATTGATTTTTGAAAACTTTTTTCCTACGAAGTTGCGCATTTTCCTTCATATAAAAAGCATGCGTTAAGGGCTGTTTACAGCTGTCAACAATCACAAGAAATATCTTTCAATGTTTCTGAAGAAATAAATACTTACATACAGTGACGAACAAAAGTATTGGTACAGTAAATTTTTCGCAATTAATGCAAAGTCTTTCATTCTAACTTTTTTCCATAATTCATACTAAACCAAAAAAAAACAAAAAATAAAATCTCTAAACTTTTTACAAAATTCAGCAAAATTCGCAGATTTTTTGAAATTTCTAGTATGCAGTAGTAGTAGTAGTAGTAGATCTTATTTTTATGTTCTTTTTGGTGCAGTATGAACTCTATTTTTATAAAAAATTATTGAGAAAAAATTGGAATAAAAAACTTTGCATATATTGCGAAAAATTCACTGTGCCAATACTTTTGTTCGTCACTGTACATATACGAGCACTTTTTTCTTGAGCGCTGCAAACTGATTTACGAAATTTTGATAGAAGAAAATTTCTTCCCGCTTCTTCCCTTTATATGGGTAAAACTACGCGAGCCCGTCAGTCAAAAGCAAAAATCAACGACAATTTTGGGTCACTTCAAACTTGCACATTATTATACTAAAATTGAATGGACCATGAAACTAGCCTGCATCCCCTAAAAATATTGATTATAATAGTTTGTACAAAATTCATTAAGTTTTCAAAGTTTAAAACTTTTATTTATTTAGTTTTCTTACAGTATAAACAATGTATGTATGGATGTGTATTTAAAACAAATGATTTTTTTTATTAATGTACGAGATTCTACTTCATAAAAAATAGTGGTGGTAACGCGTGGTCGCTAGTGTATATGCTTTCTTTTATAATAAAATTGAACATTAGTTTTTTTTACATAGCTTGATTTTTAATGAAAATAATCTATAATTTTCTAATTTCTCTTCTCCTTTGCAGTTTAAGCGAAAACAAACCAAATGCCAAACTTACTTTTTGGTTGTGTTGTAAATGCAAATAAATGACAACCACACTACAAATTAAATTAACAACAAAGCAAACAGACATTCTACTTAAAACAAATTGACTGCAAATAATTTATATCCTCAATACTAACCAACAACCCGTTCTTCCTATTCGGTAATGAGATGCTAAATGAAACTTTGTCGTCCATTGAAATTGTGAAACGCAAGGATAAGTCTACTCCGCAAAATGCCACCACCGTTTTGAACAAAATATACAAACATACAAACACATTTATTTTGGTAAATATACAATACTATATCTTTAACTGAGACTAAAAAGCAGAGTGGACAAATGAAAAGAAATATTATGTAAGTAGATGAAAGTGCATTTTCAAACAATTTTTTTTTTTTTTTTTTTTTTAATAAAAAATGATTGTTTTTGGAAGATAAAAGTACATAACGCACATTTGCTGCAAGGGTGTCATAATTCAAAAAATCTAAAACTCGAGAAAGACAGCTTTAAAGTTTTGAATTTACATATACACACATAGTAAAAACGAATACATATTTTGTTCTGCATACTTATGGATTATGACACACTTGCAGCAATTTGTGAGATATGTATGCATATCCAACTATATATCAAAAACAAAATAGAAAATTAATGAACTACAAAACAAATTATGTGCTAAACGAAACCTTTATACACACCCACATAATCAATGGCAGTTATGCGATTTTTTATAATGTATACATAATATATATTTACAAAACCTTTTTTATGTTTTATTTACATACATTTATGTATACATACATACATATGTATATGAAAAATTATGATGATGAAAACTAATATATTTATACTTTCGACTATAACTTTTTACCCTTTCTAAAGTAAACCCCCCAAAACAAAATGAGCAGATAGAAGCATATTTAAATTTAAATATATATATATATATGTATATATATAAACAAAACTGAAAAAATTCCAAATTCATATAAGAAATACGCGTTAGTTGTAAGTTAAAAATAAATAAAAAGTTTACTTGTTTTTGCTTAAATGTTGGTTAAGTTACGAGTACATATTGCGCTTTTAGCACGCTACTTTTATTATTAAACAAAAACTTTATTGTCTCCTTTTTTGTCGCATGCTATTTATGTAAAGAAAAAAGGAAACAAAACTTTAAAAAACTGCTAAAAAAAAATTGCCTATTGTGCAAAAAAAAAAAAAAACATAAGGGTTGAATGTTAAATAAATATAAAAATGTATTTAAGGTTTTCATATACATACATACAGCAACAAAAAATACATAACACGCATACCACACACCTCGTGCCGAATTAGGCCTGCTTTTCAAGAAAACTGATCGCAAAGAAACTGGCTTCAATAAGTTGTTGTTGTCGTAACAGCATACAAATTTCCCCAAAGAGTTTTTGGAGAATGATGCTTGAGTGACACGGCTTGGCCAGATATGAATCTGAATCGTTCCAATTACGTAGAACCGACTGTCATTGGAACGTCTTCAATAAGTGAACTTCATCTGCTTAACTGAAAGAACAATGGATACCTGTGTTGGAGCAATAAATATGCAACCATCGTGCCTATTCCCGTTGACGTTGTGGTTTTAAAGGGTAACACCACTTTACAATTGTGTATCATAAAAACTGTATAGTACATATATTCACTGTGCTCTACAGCAAATGGTTTAATGGCTGCGCCATCGGCTTTCCGGCAGCGCCTCGGACCGCCGCACAGTGGTTCAAAATTGGCATTTTGTGTTCACAATTCACTGGAGCTTTCATTTTTCACTCAATTTGATTATTTTTTTTTTTTTGTAATGAAAGCTAATTAAATTTGGAAGAGACCAGTTGAGCTCGATTTTAGAATTTTTGTTTGTTTGTATTAAATTTTTTAGTGCAAAGTGTAGAAAAAGTAGCAATTTTGAAGAAAATCGATTATCCAGTTCCAGTTAATAAATGTTACATAACAAAAACTAGTTGAAAACAATTGTAGGGTTCTGCCAAAACGAAAAAAAAAAAAAATGAAATGTTAAAAAGTATGTTCACCAAAATTAAATTTTTTGGTTTTTATAAAAATGTTGGGTATGCAGTTGTGTGTATATCATTAAATTTTTGCTGATTTTTAATAATATGATAAACGCTTTTATTTCCCATTTAGCATGCAGATGTGCTCGAAGTGTTAGTGAAAAAAAAATTATTAAAAATCAACGCGGTCTCTTAGCCACTTGCAAATTGCACTTATACTTAAATTTAATGATCTATAAAACTTATATACTTATACTTAAATTTAATGATCTATAAAACTGCATACCCAACATTTTTCTAAAAACTCTATTTTTTTAATTTTGGTGACATTTTTTTTAAACATTTCAAAGTTTTCTTGTGAATTTTTTTCAGTTTTGGGGATTCTCTACAGTTGTTTTCAACAAGTTTTTATTATGTAACATTTATTAACAGGAACAGGAGTATCGATTTTCTTCAAAATGGCTACTTTTTCTGTACTTTCACTAAAAAATTTAAAACAAACAAACAAAAATCTAAGAATCGGGCTCAACCGGTCGCATGCAAATTTTATTACCTTTCATAAAAAAAAATAATATCAAATTGAGTAAAAATTAAGGCTCCAGTGAATTATGAACACCAAATGCTAATTTTGAACCACTGTACGCCGCTGAGCACTTGTAAAATTTCCAACACGTTTTGCTCGAATACACTTATTTCAAGCTAGACTACTACACGGGCCGATTTGAAATTTTAACAGAAGCTACACAAATACATTCTTTATTTAGAGAAGTGGTTTTTCCTCCAAAAGTTCGATTTTTTATTAATGTAGTGCACATTTCTACAATCACGGAATTAACGAAATATCCCTGCATACGTCTACTGTATAGCCAATAGTATGCAGGTTATTAATCAGTTTGGCTTTTTGCTCCAAATCTTATGCTTTCCAAGCTATTTTTCGGCCATTTTGGTCCTAAAAAAGAGATTCAGTAGATTGGCTCTACAACCCGTCGTGTTGTATCTAATTGCTAATACAAAAACTATTTTTCTTACTTCATTGCATGCTTAATAAATTCTGTTAAATGTAAATTCGATTTCATTCTCACACTCTCGTAAAAGACTATATGATTTAGTCCATATTCCAGCCGCAGTTTGAAAGGAATATTCAAGCATAGAAGTTCCCGGTGAATTTTTGCAAATGCGTTTGGGCTGGGATCGTCTCTCAACAGATGATTGTTATATGCTTAATGGTCAGTTTTCTTGTAAGGAGGGAACTAATTCAAACAATCACACATACATGTATCCAGTCGGTAAATATTTCGCTAACATGTCTCCAGAGTTATTATCTGAAAGCACTTAAAAGCGTTAATTAAATTAATTAATTAATTAAAAAAAAAAAAAAATTTGTTTCAAAAAACGTTGCATACGTTTTATTTTTATGTAGTTCTGATGGAGATATTACCTTCGAATTTCTTTTATTTATTTTTTTGTTCAATTTATTTACACAAAGTAACTGTATAATCATGATTTTTAATTTGCTTCTAAGCTGACTGATGATGATTTATAACCATATCGTCTGTATTTATGTATAATTCCAGAGCATATAATAATATATAATCTCATGCACGCACATTGTTATAGTAAAAAAAAAAACAGCTAAAGCTATAGCATTTAAAATTCATCTTGTAAAATTTATTTCCATATGCTACATACATATAAACTTAAGTTTTTTTTTAATACTTTTAAGCATATCAATATTCTAAGCATAGCCAACTGGGTAGCACACAAACGTATATACTAATATATGTGTACAAATATATACATGTATATATTTATATATACATATATAGTTAAATCAAGTACACTCAAACAAAGGGCATATATTTTTTAGTATTTAAGCATATCGCCAACAATGTAAAAATAATGTGAATGGGTTAACAAAAAAAGTCTGCCCTCCTCCGTATATTCGGTGAAAAGTACAACTGTACAGCTTAACTTTTAAGTAAAGTCAACCAAGAAAAGTTATTCATATACACATGCAGTATATATTTAACTAGTACATAGGTCAGATGAATGCATGAATGGGCAGTAGAGCTGTGCTCAGAAATACAACAAGCTAAAGCATCAGTCTCTTTTATTTCAAAACTATGGTCGATGGAAATGTCCAAAATGCGCAACCGCGGTTAAATGCCGAATTGAAACTTAATTGCGCAAATAAGGCATTTCCATCAATTATAGTTTAGAAATAAAATAGACTAATTGCTTTGGCTTGATGCATTTCTGAACACAGCCTAGGTCCCTTATGTTGCAGTAATTTTTAAAATATCCTAACCAAAAAATATATTATATTAGTTTATTTTCTAAGCTACTGCAACATGCGCGAAGCATAGCAAGAAGAAGCTCTCGTAAACATATTTCGGTTTAGAAGAAATGAATGTAAAGTCATGGGGAAACTAAGCGAAATCAACACCCACTTAAGGTGTTCTTATACGATATGTATTTGCATGTATACCAGAGACTGGTTAGCGTTGAACGCCAACTATTGCAAACTCAATCAATACCGCTGCTTTGTATACTGCTGCTTTCGATACCTAAACGAAATTAGAGGATGACTGAACAAGAGCGCATAGCGTGCTGTCCTGCAAATACAGCCACCACAAGTGAACGATACTTATAACTAGCGCAAGGTATTACTTCGCGGAGGGGGAGCGGCCTATTGCCTTTCTATGAAAAAAGAAATTGCGGAGTTGTTCCGCCAGACGCAATTATGTTCAAATTGTGTTTGCCAAATTGCAAACAACGAACCAATTTTCTTCCGACTCAAGCATAGCATCCACAAGGTTGTTAACCGTAAGCGGCCACCCCACCTTCATGCTCGAGTCATCCCTTCGATTGCAAAACTGCGGACAGACAATCAAACCGTGTTAAGCGTCTTCAATACTATCATTTGTGATCGTCATTATGCTCGCATGGGCTCAAAAAAATATGATTTAAAGCAACCATGCTTCGTAAATATTTTGGTCAGGTGGATTTCCACTTCCCCATGTTGACTACTTACCCACCTTGATATCTGGGGTATCCGGAGGTACGCAACTATCGTAGCTCTTACGTTGATCTGCTCGAGTTTCAACGCCCCACTGTCTCGGCGGTTGGAACGGTCAAAGTTCCAATCCGCTCCTACGCTTGGCTGCCCGAGGTTCAAAGTCGCACTGCTTTGGCGGTTGGAACGAACGAGGTTCCAATCCGCTTTTACGCTCCGAGTACTACTCCGCGTCTATGCTTTGGTTCCGCGACTTTCAAAGCCTCAATGTCGCGGCGGTTGGAACGGCCGAGGTTCCAATCTGCTCTTACTCCGAGAAGGAGCGGCCTTCCTATGAATATCTGCGGGACTGTTCCGCTTGGCGCAGTATCCTGAGAATGATGCGTGCCATATGGCAAACGTCGGACCAATTTCCGGTTCACTCAAGCATAATATCCACAAGGTCGTCAACCATAATTGGCCTCCCCACCTTCCTGCTCAAGTAATGAGTTTATATGTCCAACGTCCACTCGTCGAACGGGTCCAACGATCCTGCCACTGCTGCAAGCAGTTTTGTTTCGCTCTTTGTCTAGTGCGTTCATCTGGGTCTACCACTATCTGTCTTGCCACTATATCAATAGGACAGAGCCCTGCGATTACCAGCGCAGCCTCTTCTGAAGTAGTTCTGAACGCGCAGCATACCCTTATAGCGCATAATCTATATAGGGATCGGATTTCCCGAGCGGATGACCTCATCTTTAGCGCTGCAGTCGCGCCGTACACAAGAATGCTTTTCACAACATTCAGCATTAGTCTTGAAAGCCCTGCTGCAATTTTTTCCGCTTTCCCGACGGCATAGTCGATATGCGGTTTAAACGTCAGTCTTGTATCAAAAATGATGCCTAGGTATTTAAGCGTCTCCGCCGATGTAATTTCAGTATCACAGACTTTAATGGTAGCTACTTCCTTTAACTTCCAACTACTAATCAACACTGCCTCTGTCTTTTGATGTGCCAACTCTAGGCCTGCTTCCTTCAAC